CACCCCCTCCTCGTGCCCCCAGACGAGCTGCTGTGTGCCTGCGACGTGCCGCACTGCAGCCTGCCCACCTGCACGGGAAAGGTGTGCTTCGTCAGCAAGAGGAAGGAGGAGGGGACCATCACCCAGCACAGGGGCTGCTTCTCCCAGAACATCCTGGAGAACTGCCGCACGCCCGTGACGGAGCAGTACGGCATGAGGTGCTGCGACTCCAGCATGTGCAACGCCGAGCTAGAGATCTTCCTGCAAGGTACGGGGGCACAGTCCCCTTTGAGGAGCCGGGGGGAGAAGGGCAGAGCTGCCCACCCAGCTGGAGATGTGGTTGGGTCTCTAGATCATCCCCTTCCTCACTCAGCACCTCCAGGGTCACCCTTTCCCAGGTGGGACAGGGCCAGCGAGATGTCCTCAGGTGTCTCTTCTTGGGCTGTGCCTGCAGAGCTGCCATCCAGGGGGTTGACCCCAATGCAGAGCCACCCTCCCCAGGTCCAAGCCCAAGCACCAAGATCTCCACCCTCCCAGGTCCACCTTCATGCTCCCATCCATTGTTTCCCCCCCCAGGAGAAGAGGCCCTAGGAAAGGCTCCTTCCCTGCCCAACCTCCTCCTGATGATCTTCGTCCCGCTGCTCGCCCTCCTCGTCCTTGCGGCGCTCACGGCACTCTTTTGCTGGAAGGTGGCCCAGCAGCGCCACAAGAAAAGCGACATGGGAGACACAGACCTCATGCTGAAGGCATCCATGGTGGGAGACAGCACTTTGGAGGTGGGTGCACTCCGGGAAGGACCCAAAATGCCCCTGAGGTGCAGGAGGGAGGGACATGCCGGGTGTGGGGTGGCCATTGGGCTGACCCCGCTGCCGCCCCGGCTGCACAGGACTTGCTGAACGACGACTGCACCACAGGCAGCGGCTCGGGCCTGCCCTTCCTCGTCCAGCGAACGGTTGCTCGGCAAATCACCCTCGTGGAGTGTGTGGGTAAGGAGAGCAGCGGGGCACAGGGGGAAGCTGCCCCGGCCCCCACAGCCAGTGCTTGGGCATGTGCGAGACCCCTTTCCCCCAGCAGCCAGCGATGGCACCACGACACCAGACCCGGGAGGGGGGGTTGGACCCGACCATCTCAGCCAAAATGCCATAGAGACCCCACGTTCTCCCGCTGTCCAGCTGATGGAGGAGGGAGAGAGCGGCTGGGTGGGTGGGTGGCAGTTGGCCAGGGGCAATGGGCCCCGCGCCCCGCACGTGCTCTTCCACACGGGGAGCTGGGTTCATCATGCTGGGTGCGGGGAGGTCGCTGGGGGTTGGAGGGGCCGCGTGACGCAGTGCCGTGGCCGTGGAGGCAAAGGA